ATCACAAATGCAGACAGAGTTTTATGTTTATGCGGCACAATGCAACGCAACGCCTAACGTTCTTTTTAGCAGCATCATATGACCCCTTTAAAAGACTATTTAAGGATCACAATGCAGCCCACAAAAACTAATTCACTGTCATTTTAAATCTTTAGCAATCTTTGCTACTGTCCTTCAGACCACACTGGGTTTTACCCATTTGTCAGCAGCCCATTTGTATACCCGTTTTTATAGAAAATAGAAATCTTTTGTAGCAATATACACTACCGTTCAAAAGTTTGGGGTCAGTACTTTTTTTTTTTTTTTTAAGGAAATTAATACTTTTATTAAGCAAAGATGCGTAAAATTGATAAAAAGTGGCAGTAAAGACTTATATTGTTACAAAAGGTTTCTATTTTGAATAAATGCTGTTCTTTTTAACTTTTTATTCATCAAAGAATCCTAAAAAAGTATCACATGTTCCAAATAATAATAATAATAATAATAATGATATTAAGCAGCAAAAACTGTTTCTAACATTGGTAATAAAGCAGCATATTAGAATGATTTCTGAAGGATCATGTGACATTGAAGACTGGAGTAATGATACTGCAAATTCAGCTTTGATCACACAGCAATAAATTATATTTTAAAGTATATTAAAATAAAACACTGTTATTTTAAATTGTAATAATATTTCACAATATTACAGTTTTTTCTGTATTTTTGATCAAATAAATGCAGCCTTGATGAGCATAAGAGACATCTTTAAAATGTAGTGCAAATCTTACTGATCCCAAATTTTTGAACGGCATATATATATGTTACAAATATTGTAAAAAAAAAAATAAAAAAATATTTTTAGCAACATATTTTTTAATTGTCAGCTCAATAATATAATTATATTTCTCATTAATTATGTTTTCATTAATGTTATCCTTCAATAATAACTTTACAGCTGTAATGTAACTCTATTTTATTAACACTGCACATAACTTGACCTTGGTGACATATTGTAATCAGCCAAATTCAATAAAATGCTTCTGTCATAACTGTGATGTGAAGCTAGAAACTAGTTGGCATGTTTTTGGTACAGGACATAGGTCTGTTGAAATGATAACTTCATTCTGTAAATAAGTGTTTATGTCTCCTCAGATGATCCTTTCGATAAGCCTCCCTGTCGAGGATGTTCCTCATATCTAGTGGAGCCTTACATTAAATGTGCTGAATGTGAACCGTCACCTTTCCTCTTGTGTCTGCAGGTGAGTCGCTGGATTGAGGATCTCATTACTGTCTGACTGCATAAATCAAATACTGTCACTGTTAATCTGTACTATATGATTGAATCTTTCTGTTGCAGTGCTTTACTAGAGGATATGAGTATAAAAAGCACCAGAGTGACCACAAGTATGAAATCATGGTAAAGAGAGCAGTTTGAATTCAAATGATTGCACTGAATATAAAAGGTTTATAAGTAAAAATGGATTTTATACATAGACTGAACATTTGAATTGAAGATTTAAATGAATTGTTGTTTTAAACATTGGTTAAACCAGAAATGTGCAAAACAAAGACATTTTTTTATTATTAGTTATTTAACTTTTTTTTTTAAAAAGCTTATTTTTTGCATTCTGTGCTCCATAACTTATATCCTGTATCTTGTGTCGATAAATTACACATTTACTTTGATCTACTTTCTTCTAGACATCCGATTTTCCCGTGTTAGAGCCTGGCTGGACTGCGCAGGAGGAGATGGCTCTGTTAGAGGCCGTCATGGACTGTGGGTTTGGTAACTGGTCAGTATATTCCTTACCTCATATCTGCTGTTCTACTAGGGCTCGTTTAGCAGGGATTCTGCAGGTCTCAAAAAACATTATAAATCAGAGCAGAAAGTCTTAAGTTCATAAAGTCATGGCATTAAATGTTGCATGCATTGTTAAAAATAAATATCTTTATATTTGCCCATACAAATAAACATCCTTAAATCAAGATATATTTATTTGAAATGCAAAATGAAAATACGACGTCTTGTTTTCTTTGAAA